ATATCAACTCAAATTAAAATATGTCTTATCCTTCTATTTTCTAAATTGTACCGCATTTTAAAAAATTATGTTATGCTTTTTAACTTAAACTACTGCACTCGGTTCATATATTAACCATAAAAAAATATTTTCTTAATTGTTTGAACACATTATATCTAATTGTTATAGTAGTATTTCTACTATTATTTTTTTTTTCTCTACGTAATGTTTCAAAAAGTATAAAAAATATGAAATAACATAAATTTGATCACGTTGATAGAAAATAATTACTATGAAATAGGAATCTTTATTTTTTGAAAGCTTTCAGAATCTATTAAGTATAAAATTATGAGTCAATCAAAATTGATTTCCTCAATAAACTAAATTTGATCAAATATAATTTGTCTTATTCCTTACTGGATTTGTCTAAATCTATTTAGATTATGTTCTAAAAGTGCCAAGTGGCATTTTCTCAATGTGCCACTTGGCTTAACCTCATGTTTCACTACCCTTCTTTTAATATAATATAGATATTTGATTAATTACTAAATTTTAAAAAGCTAATTTTTTTGACAACTTGTAACTATATCATTTTTCAAACAAACTAAAAATAAAATAGGATAACATAAATTAGGACAAAGGAAGTGTATTTCTAAAATATGTAATTATATACTGTGAGTGGGAAATGTTAATTTAAAACTATTTAATGAATAACATATATATGAATTTTATTTTCTTTTTGAGAAATGTAATTTCAATCAAGCATTTGAGCATTTCTCTTTTGTTGCCTTTTTCGCAATTTGCTTTTTTTTTTTTTAGTTTATTCATGAAGTAGGAGTCATTGTAAAACTATTTAATTAATAACATACATATAATTTTATTTCTTTCTGGTAATTAAAGCATTTGAGCGTTTCTCTTATGTTGCTTTTTTCATTTTTTGACTTTTCTGGTAATTCACGAAGGAGGAGTGGAAGAGGAAGCTGGCAATAGCCAGTCCAAAGAGGCCACTTATGAAGCCACGCGCCGCGACGGCGCGTGAGTTGATGAGGGTATGCAGGGAGTTACAGGGGAGATTCGAAGAAGTGAAGGTGCCATTCCTGATAGTACACGGCGGCGATGACGTCATTTGCGATCCAGCCTGCGCGGAGGAGCTGTATCGACGATCCACGAGTAAGGACAAGACTTTGAATATATATCCGGGAATGTGGCACCAGCTGGTTGGCGAACCAGAGGAGAATGTTGAGAAAGTGTTCGGAGATGTCGTGGAGTGGCTAAGAACGAGAGCTGAGAAGACCACCGTGGACGGCGGCGCGTAGGGAAGTGTTTGAATGGAAGTTGGTTTGAATATTGTAGTTGAGGAGTGGTTAGTTAATTGTTAAAGATGTGTGCTGAGGACTGAGGTAGTTAAGAAATCAGCAAACAGTGTGATCCGTAACTCAAAAGGACCAAAAATAACTTTGTACAAGCATTATGCTGAACAATAACTGCCACTCAACCTCAAACTAATTGAGGTCACGTGGCTTCATTTTAAACTTGTACCAAATGCAATATTTGAAGATTTAGGTTATTTAAGACTAAAATATAATTTCTTACTGGCAAACAAATTTTGAACAAAAAAAAGGCTTTTTTCAACTAATTCATAACCACAACTAATTGGTAAATGCTTATTTTTTGACTTTTTTTTCCTTCCATTGTGCCATATTTTATGTATGTTGCATGAACTTCTAAGAGAGTGTAGTACTTTCAAGACAACTTAGTCGACGTAGAGTTTTTCTCATTTTATCTTCGAAGGTGTTGTTTGGTATGATGGATAAGCAAAAATAATCCTAGGATAAAAATTAACTTTATCCCTTATTTGGTTACTAATACTGAAATAAATTATCCTAGGATTATAAATAGTACCGGGGTAACTATACATGTCAGAGGGTGGAATAATAATCCCAGTATAAAGCAGTAAAATTTACATAACTAATCCTAGCATAACTTGTATTCGAACAAAATGACCCCAAAGTATGCTACTTACACCATTTTCCAGGATGTGATACAAGCATTGGCTGAATGCCTCATTTTTCACCGGTTTAATCCTTTCATTAGAAAAAGAAAGGAAAACTAACACAAATGTTCCGAGTAAATCTCAATTTAACAACCTCTAGCCATTAGTTATAGACTTGCTAAAACTAGCCAACAAAAATTGAAAAACCAAATAATAGGATTCTTTCTCTCAAAGAATCACATACAAAAATCACATTTCATATTTTTAAGCGTGATTAGCAACACTAGATACAAGACGGAAAGGAAATTTCATGGATAAGGTAGCAAATAAGGTGATGAAATACAAAAATATATACAATATTCCAAAAATCTAAACAAAAAAGGAACTTTTTCGATGGATATAGTTGAAATTCATTGAAAATATATAGATAAGTCAATATACAAAATTTGAGGAAGATTGGAGGTGATTTGGACTGGTTTTGTATCAAAATTCGTAATTAAATCGAGTTCAAAAAAGTCTTCTGCGACACATGTATCAAACATGTATCACGCATGTATCTCACACACATGTATACATGGATATACATGTGATACACAATTGATACAAATATGATACACAAATGATACACAGTGTGATACACATATCATATTTTTCATGTTCAGTTTTTACTTCGAATTTTCAATTCAAACCACCCCAAAACTTCATCAAATCATCCCAAAACTGAGATTCAAGCTTCTTAAGTTGTGCCCAATCTATTCTAATAGCACCCACTCAAAACAAAGCAAAAATTTGATATTTTTTTACTACAAATAGCTAATTGTTTAATTTGACTAATATTAGTAATATTTTATCAATTGGCCAATTTTTATAATGAACTACTTATAAATGGACACAGCTGGTAATTTCCCAAAAAGAAAAACAAAGAGTAGAAGTTGAAATCAACCCACAAATATAAACTTGGTAAAAGCAGGTAGTCCAACTGCGGGATGCAGGTATAAATAAAGGTTGAAGAAGCTAAGGACGTAATATTACCATTCACAAATACATGTTTATGCATTCAGAGTCTGCATAATTCTTCTCCTTAACCAGTAAAGGAGGGCAAAAAGGATATCCAAACGAAAGGAAAATCAAGCAAGCCAAAAAAGGCCTCTAGCTAACTAATTACAACAAGCCTAAGCTTGGATTTCCTAAGTTCCCAGGAAGACTGAAGATCATTGACTGCCCATGAACAGGAACATATAATGCAACGAAATAATACCAAAATGAGCAAAATATTGTCAAGCACCTACAGTTATAAATCTTAGAAAGAATATCATCCCTTACAGAATAAAAATCTCATCTTTACTGGTCTAAACAAGAACCCCGTAATCATTCTGTTGGGCAATGTCCTCTCTAGTTTCATGGGAGACCTGGGGAACAACATCAATTGAAGCATGAGGCTTATCTTCTGCTACTTCACTGGAGAGCCGGCCATCTTCTTCAGCTAGATGATGGAAGTGTGATTCGTCAAGTCCATTAGCATCTTCGCAAAGCTCCAAATCATCGACACTGTGAGCCACATGAGATATCCGGCCGTGATCATCCTCACTTACTGTAATACATAAATCATCACTGCCCATGTGATATAGGTGAGAGTCATCTGCATCAAAAGTTGCAGCAGGTAACCGAGATTGCACAGGTATCCCTGCTGCATAATATTGCTCTATCTCTTCTTTCCGCTTACGTTTGCCCATCCCCTTCCTTCTTACTCTCTCCTTTCCACGTACTCTCTTTCCAACTTCACTTTGTGAGTTTGTTGCAACAACTACTGTACTTGCAATCTGATCCCTCAAGCATTCATAAGTAATATATCGGATTCTTGTGACAGATTGTAACTGTTGATCATCCATCCCATGAGTTGAAAGGGTGTCTGCTATAAGGGCAATCTCCCTCAGTGCGGCATTCTGCAACGACGAAAAAAAAGATTGTAATGAAAAATTGGAGGTGCACTACGGAGTAAGGAGGTAGGTAAGAGAGGATGTGGATAACAGAAATTGAAATTTTCTAAATTAGTTTACCATTCTTTGAAACTCAGATGAGATAGGCACAGGCCTCCCCACCAACTTCCTTGTAACTCTCAAATACCACTGCATGTATTCACTTTCTTCCACATCTTCCTCTGCCTCCACAATGTAGAGATGGCGATTCGACCATTCATTAAGCTCTGACTCCATTTTTGTTGAGAGATCTACACCACCATCAACTCCCCGGCTCTTCCTTTCCCACTTTTGTACCTCTTCAGGGACTGTCTGATGCATGCCAAACTGCCTTAGGCAACGATCCGGAAGGTGCCTTTCAGCCTTGTCATAACATATCAACATGGTCTTTGATCTCCCGAGAATGAGGCTGCGTAATATATGTTCTGGTATGACAGTGTGACTAATGTTTGAGTAAGGACACCAGTCAACCTGGACGGAAGCATAGAATTGTTCCATTTTCTTAAGATCTCCAAGAGGTAAATGATTCAAGTCACATAAGCAAGTTCTGAAAACTAACTTACGTCAGATGGCTTCATAGAGTCCAATGCTTTTCGGTAGAATGCCACATCACGGTTTGATGTTGGACTGCTTTGTTTACCTTTCCACCTAAGTACAAATGGGAAACATTCATGGATTGGATCATGATTAAGCTTTGGCCGACCAACATTGAGGTGGTAGTAACTCCAACACTACAAAAGAGGAAAAACTAATCACAGGAAGGTTTAATATAAAGGTGAGCTACATTTTCTAATTACTTATCAAAGCATGACACAGCCAGGTCAGTTGTGTCCCGGAGGAAACCTTACAAAGGCAAAAATTTCCTAGCCTCATCATACCTGTAACAGTGTCAAACAGCCACTAATTGTGCTTTGAGACCTGAGGGAAGCATTCCCAAGCGCTCTGTACAAGAAGGATAAGGCTGCAGCACCCCAAGCATACTTGCCAGCTGCATCAAAATTTTCAAACAATGGAAGGTACATGACTGGTACCTTATTGCCAGTGGTAGTTGAAAAAATTGTGCTACCGACAAGGTAAAGAAGATAAGCACGTGTATGACGCTCAATATCCTCCATGGAAGCATCCTCAGGACACTGAGAGAAGGTCTCTTTCAACCAACTAAGCTTCACCATCCCACCACTCGTATATCCCGAGTCAGGTGCTTTCCCCAACAACCTGATACAGACTGCTTCACATGAAGTATATGTCACACCTATAACAGCTTCACCATCAACTGGTAGTCCAAGCAAGTAGGCGACATCCTCAAGGGTCACAGTCATTTCCCCAACAGTGAAATGGAATGTGTTAGTTTCTCTCCTCCATCTCTCAACTAGAGCAGAAATGAGTGGGTTATCCAAACTAATTGCCGGTATCATTCTTAAATAGCCAAATCCAGCCTTCTTAACCAACTCAATCTGTTTCTCCGTGAGCATCCACTGATCGAGCTTTGATGTGTGTTCATGGCACCTAAGAGCACTACGCTCCTGTCAACAGTCAGAACCAGTTATTTAATTCTTGTCTGGGTCATTGTTTTACAGTCAAGTATCAATTTCTAAAATTAAAAAAAAGGAGGAAGGTTATCTTAGTGAATACCTGCCCTTCCCAAATAGCAGATGATACATGTTTATCTTGATCGTACAACACAACATCATCAATAGGTCCAGGATTAGTTGCATAGTAGTCCACCATCACTACTTATGACATATCTCTGAAACAAGCAAACTTAACATTACTACTAATGAAGAACAAAATTAAGGTTTTCCTTAAAATTTGTAATGCACCTTAACTACAATGTTTGAAACTAAAGGACGAAAGCTTTATATTTAGGAAGCATTTGAACAGAAACTAGTGATGGTAAGTCTAAAACGGGCATATAGATAAATAAATAAATAAATAAATAAAAAAGGATAGGAAGATGGAAAAGAAGCCCCTATCCCTCCTTTTCCAAACCGTGGTTAGAGTTGTTAGAAACCTTGAAAGAACCTAGAATCTAAATCTTGTAAGACCAGCAAAGGATGCATCAAAAGTTAGACTACACAAGAAACTACTTCACAAGTTAAACAAGCATGAATCTACATCATAAGTGGTGAGACAAGTAACCAATCAGGGGCGGCCCAACATTGTTGGTGGCGTAAAGCAAAATCTCAGTCAGAGGCCCTAATTCGTAAACAAAATAAATTTATATATTTTTATTTGAAGTCTATTTCTTTTCACTCTTTTAGATGCAGAGTTATTAATAATTTTCTTATAACGAGTTATTCTCCTAAAACATTGTTGATGCTATGCAAAATTGTTATAAGAATACAATTTTATGAGGAATATAGGTATTTGAAAAAAATCAAGTCTTGTTGTCTTATTGATTATACCGATAAGAGTATTATCTTCTACTAGTAGTATTTCCTTTAACGTTATATAATTTAAAAATAAGTCTAAACTACCATATCGGACTATTATGTTTTTATCGAGGCTAAGGCAATATTTTTTTTTTTAATTATCATCTAGTGATCTCAAATTTTACCCACTAAATAAAAAATCAAAGATATCAGTATACCCTTTAGATTATTCAAATCTCAACGATCAACGTCAGTAACAAATTAAAATTTTGTTTTCCTTTTTGTATTAAATTTTTTACTTTTTAACGTTAAGATACTCAATTTTTTACTAAATATAAAATTACTACCAATGGAAAGTGGAGCCCCTAAAATTTTGGGGCCCGAAGCCAATGCTTGGGCTGCCTTACCCTTCATCCGGCTTTGTAACCAATGTACATTTATACAGATGACCGACTCAGTGGCAGGAATCAAATCGTTCTTCATCTCAAACACCTTAGCCTTGATTCTTGAAGTCCCGAGCAAGCTTAAGTAGCATATACAGCATTATTTACCTTAAAATAAAATGTAAAGTAAAAACCAGGTCCCGTCTTTTTCATTGTGAAATATCAACTTCAATCGGATGTAGAAATAATAAATTATTAAGGTTTCCTATTGTTCAGTGAGAAATGTGATGTGTTTTGTAAATATATGTAAGTAATTTCTATTTATTGCACCAAGAAGGTGCTAATTCCTGTTCGGTGAGAAATTATCTTATGACAGACTCCAAAAAGTAGATTATATTTATTTGAACTTTCTAATTCTTCAGTCAGAGACCTAACTGACTAAAAAAGTACCTATAAGTGATTGGAACTTCATGAGTCCTGGTTAAGGAGATAGGGATTACCATCCTCTTGTTGCCAATCACTAGGATTATTAACTAAATTCCTAACTAACAAGGAATGTGAGTATTGAAATAAACAAAGTTTTGAATGCTTCCCGATTTCAATTTTGGAATTATGTAAGTCATGGAAAAATGTAAAACTGAAGTTGCTTACCAAGAAAATAAAAGAAGATTGTTGATCTCACACTTATTAAGAAGTTAACTTATCTTCTTACTTCATCAAAAAAAAAAAGTTAACTTATCTTCTTTTGTTTACAAAATCATTCCTGTTAGTGGTTTTTGCGGGAAGGTACCTATGGAGAAGGAAATTCCAAATAACAGTAGGATTTAAAGGTGACTACAGAGGACATTGTCCAGAAAACTGTTACCCTACAACAACAATACAACAACAACTACGCCTCAACCCAAAAGTAGTTGCAGTCGCTAATATAACTAAAAAACACGTGTTAAACACTAGACCTAATGCAAGAGCCTTAATCCCCACCGGTTAATATCATCTTATGGATACTTTGCTTCCATTGTATTCTGTTCTTCGCTGTTTTCACAAGAATTCTAAATAACAGTAAAGTTACTTTATTCATATTCGTACTTGAAAATCACGCTTTTACTAACACTTCCCTACTTGATTCTATAACGGTGTGTTCACTGGTTAATCTTGGAGTTAGCAGTGCAAAATGTCAATGCAGAGTGCTACACTGTTTGCACTTAAACCAGACTTTGTTTTCTATCAGAAGCCCAACACAAATACATACTAAATGATGCTGTAACTATTTTCTGATGATTGAAATTACCATCCCTTACATATGTTTTTGCTGATATCATGACTTCAATACAATGTCGCAAGCAGTGGCAGGGCCACATAGTTCCAAGGGGTGTGTGTATACTATGTGTTGAATTCCTTCAACTTTTTCGTATATTTACTTCTTCAAATTTTGACACCCCTTAATGAAAATCATGGCTCTGCTAGTGTTTTCAAACATCAAATTACTACTGCCCTCAATAACTTTTGATCAATCAATCAATCAATCATCTATGCTTCGGTCCTAAACAATTAGGATAAACCATACGAAATATGATAATTACCAATCAATCAATCAACTATTGCTCAGTCCCAAAATAGTTGGAGCCAATTATATGAATCACTAGATATATTACAAATTACCAAATTTTAATCTAATTCCAGTCACTGAAATGACTAGGTAAAAGCCCAAAAGACCAACATACAACAGAAAGGAAAATATTAACTTTAAAGACAGGGTAGAAACCATATTGGCAAGAAGGAAAAGTAACAATTTTTAAAGCACAAAACACACACACACACACAGAGACATGTATATATATAGTTAGAGAGACAGAGAGAGAATGTACCAGTTAAACCAGCAAGTCAAGGCAATGGGCGATGAATTTATGTCTGTGTCTCTCTTCGTGTATGTGTGTGTGTAGAGAAAGAGATAGAGTGACAAAGAGAGAGATGAAGGGTCAACGGAGAAGAAGATCGCCGGAGAAGAGATCGACGGAGATGGAGTTGAGAATCGGCGAGGCACAATTAGGAATACGGTGTCGTTAGGGTTAGGTTCTTTAAAAAAAATTGCCTTGTAGCAATTTGGGGAATTTGACAAAGTGTCGATAAGGTTTTGTTTGGATGTACATAGATTACACAACTCCTTGTTTGGAAAGAGGGAAAAAGGAAAATGTAACAATCTTTTATCATTACCTAGTACTAGTCGTAACAGCGAGATGCGCAGTCAATATTAAAAAAAAAATTAAATTAAATTATGATCGAGATTATTTGAACATATTAGATCGTATTGCTAATAAATTTCAATTGTCATCTCATTTATCAATATAATTAACAATATAATCAATAACAAAATATCTATTAAATTAAAAATAAGACTAATATAGTTATCGAATAAATTTTTTGTTCTTTATTTTTTATTATATTATCCAATTACATTGTTAATATAAATTTATATAAGTGTAATATTTTCTTTAATATTTTTTCCGCTACTCTTTAATATATATAGAAGATATTCTCTTTAAGAAAATTAATTTAAAATCTCATTCTATTGACTCAATTTTTAATTGTGTAAATTTATTAATAATATTTATTTACTTTAGTTTATTTTTTGAAATAAATTCAAAACGTATTCACATTAAGCCATATGTCAGCCTAATAATAAGTCATTTGGCATTGCTCAAGACAATGCCCCAAGAGTTAGGAATTTAGAAGTTATTTGGAAAATTAAATTCTTACATTTTAATGAAAGAAAAATAAAAAAATTAATATATCTCTTAAAATTTTGGTAATTGATACATATGCGATAACTTATTTTCCCCGCTATATTTTGGCTATCTTTTTAATTGATTATATCTCATAATATGTTCTCTTTGTATCAATTAAAAAGATATTGTATTACATATTTGATGAAATCTTATAGCTTTCAATTGGATCTTAGGTTATAAATATTGTTTATAAAAATAGATGTATAATTATTTTTTTCTTTACACTAATTAAAAAATATTGTATTACTTATACTATCCTTTTTTAATTTGGTAATTATGCAAAGTGTTTTGTTCCATGGAGTTTTTTATTTAGTATTACTATATAATTTGTATTAATGTATTATTTTTCTTTAATATTTTTTTCGCTATTTTCTTTTTAATATAATATCGTAGATATATTTTGTTACTCTTTAAAAAATTTAATTTTAAATTTTATTCTATTTTATTGTGTAAATTTATCAATAATGTTTTATTTACTTTACTTTGTTTTTAAAAATTATTTAAAAACGTATCCACATTAAGCCGTGTGTTAGCCTAAGAATAAGGCACTTGGCATTGCTCAAGACAATGCTCCAAGAGTTGGGAATTCGAAAGCTATTTGAAAAAAAAAAATCTCCTACATTTTAATGCAAAGAACAATCAAAAATTAATTATATATCCTAAAATTTTGGTAAATGATACATACGCAATAACTTATTTCTTTACCTAGATTTGGCTATTTTTTAACTGATTATATCTCCTAAGATTTTTATTTACATTTATTATAAAATATTGTATTACTTATTTGATGAAATCTTATAGCTTTCAATTGGATCTTAGGTTATGAATATTATTATAAAAATAGATGTATAATTTTTTTTCTTTACACTAATTAAGAAAAATATTGTATTACTTATCGTATCCTTTTTTAATTTATTGATTTTTATAAGTATTTTGCTCCATGCATTTTTTTATTTATTAATTTTGCTAAATATTTTATTTATTTATTTTACTTTTTAAAATTAAAATTTTTCTGATGATGATATTAGTCCTCCTATCCTTGAATTTTGCTAAATACTTTATTTATTTATTTTGCTTTATAAATGCCACGACCCCAATACCCCGGTCGTGATAGCGCCTATCACAGTACTAGGCCAGCCCAAAAACAACACGAACAATACGGAGATCATTTATAAATTCACCTTTCTAGACAGATTAAGTCTCAAAGCTTTCGATTTTTAAAATATTAAAGAAATGCACGTAATAAGTACGAAAATACATCAACCCAGCCCGAAGCTGATGTCACTAGTCATGGGCCTCTAAGTACGACCCAACACTATCTAATTAATACATAACAAGTCTGAAAATACAAAGTACTAGAATAAGATGGAGAAAGACAGGGCTGCGAAAGCCGTGCAGCTACCTCGCGATCTCCGGATAAGACTGAGAGTGCTGGAAGCTCTCACTCTGATGCTCGGGCACCTAGATCTGCACACAAGGTGCAAGGAGTAACGTGAGTACGCCAACTCAGTAAGTAACTAAAGTAAATAAAGTCTGAGTGCAGTGACGAGCATTTAAAATCATATGCATACTTATCAAGAAATCTCCACAGAAATATATCAAGTCCAAAATCTGCAGATCAATAGCCAATTGTCTCGTAAAACTCCAGTTTCAATTAAAATCCTTTAAAATATTTATTCAACATTTTCAATAGAGGCTCAGTATAAAAGAAGAGTGAAAGCAGAAAAATGTCGTAAACAAGCTCCCTAGGGAAGGTATCACTCATAAGTATAGCCTCTCGGGCAAGCCTCTCAGTCACTCGTGACTCAGCTCTCGTCAATCAGTACTCACACTCAGCACTCCAGCTCAATAGATATCTCATAATAATAATAATAACCGTTGCAGCGTGCAGCCCGATCTGTAATATATAGTCGACTACGCTCACTAGGGTGTGCAGACTCCTGAGGGGCTCCTACAGCCCAAGCGTCATATCGCTGCGGCGCGCATCCCGATCCATATATATAGATATCGCTGCGGCGTGCAGCCCGATCCATAATATATAAGTATCGCTGCGGTGTGCAGCCCGATCCATAAATAGATATCAGATGATCCTCACCATCCAGTCCTCGACCTCTCTCTCAGTCATTACCCTCACTGCCACTCGAGCATTCCAGTGAAAATCAGGAAAACTCAGCCCAAACAGTTTTCATATATTAAGAAGTAGAGTAATGATACCGGATTAAACAATAAACTGGTAAAACATGACTGAGGATATGCTTTCAAATCAAAACAGTGTGAAGAAAATCGTAAAACATCCCTAAGGGTCTAAACAGTTCGGCACAAGGCCCCAAACATGACATTCAACCCAAATTAACGAATTCATTTCTAAAACACATGGATATTATATACAGTATAAGAAAATATGCAACTATACAGTCGCCACGGGACGGACCAAGTCACAATCCCTACAGGTGCACGCCCACACGCCCGTCACCTAGCATGTGCGTCACCTCATTATCAAAACAGTACTAAATTCCGGGGTTTCATACCCTCAGGTCTAGATTTACAATCGTTACTTACCTCAAACTGGATGAAATAATACACCGCGACGCCCTTGCCTCTCGACACGGCCTCAACTCGCGTCGATTCTATTCAAAAGTCAGAATCATAACGTCAATATATGCTAAGGGAATGAAGCCCATGCGAAAATAATCAAATTTTATCAAAAATCTCGAAATTGGTCGAACCCGACCCCGGGGCCCTAGTCTCGAAATTCGATAAAAATCACATAAATGGAATCCTTATCCTCCCACGAGTCCATACCAAGAACATCAAAATCCGACCACAAACATCCCCTCAAATCCCTAAATCAAGGTCTCCAATTTCAAACCCTAAACCCCCAATTTTAATCACTAACTTCCATAAATTCCATGTCTAATCAGTAAAATATCACCATAGAACGAGTTTTAGTTCCAAGAATCTTACCTCCACGAAGTTCCCTTGAATTCCCTCTTCAAAATCTCCCAAAAGCTTCAATCCCGGATAAAAAATGGTGGAAAACAACCAAAATTTCGCAAAGGGGAACTTATATACTTTCTAACCCAGGGATTCCGCACCTACGGCCCTTTTCCCTCTTCTGCGGTACTGCTTCTTCGATCTTACCAGCCGCATATGCGGTTTCCACTTAATGCACTGGGACCGCACCTGCGGTGTCGCAGGTGTGTTACACATCCCGCACCTGCGACTTCTAGCCTTCTCTCATGTGGCCGCATTTGTGCCTGATTTAGCGCTTCTGCGATCTCGCACCTGTGGTCCCCAATCCGCAGGTGCGGTTATGATAGGAACTCAGCAGCTTGAGCTGCAACCTCGAACTACCAACTTCCCGATAACCATCCGAAATCATCCCGACGTCCGCCTTGCCCCCTCCCTCCCTACCCCCCCCCCCCCGGACTCAACCAAAAGTACGAACAAGTCATATACCACTATTCAAACTTGTAGCAATCTTTAGAACACTCAAAACAACATCGAATCATCAAAACACCCTGGGATTCAAGCCTAAGGATTCCAAAACTTCCGCATTCCGCATTCGATCAAAAAGTCTATCAAACCTCATCCGAATGACCTGAAATTTTGCACACACGTCTCAAATGACACCACGGACCTACTCCGATTTCCGGAATTCCATTCCGACCCCGATATCAAAATTTCCACTATCAACCGGAAAACGCCAAAATTTCAATTTCGCCAATTCAAGCCTAAATCTACCACGGACCTCTAAATTACATTCCGATCACGCTCCTAAGTCCCAAATCACCTAACGAAGCTATCAGAGCCATACAAACCAAATTCCGAGATCGTTTTCACACAAGTCAACTTTCGTTTGACTTTTCCAACTAAATGACCAACTTAAGAGACTAAGTGTCTCATAACACTCCAAAACTACTCCAAACCCGAACCAACCGACACGATACGATGAAATGAAGCTGAACAACACATAAAGAAGCAGAAATGGGGGAAACGGAGCGGTAACTCATGAAACGACCGGTCGGGTCGTTACATCCTCCCCCTCTTAAACAAACGTTCGTCCTCGAACAAATCAAGAAACATACCTGAAGCCTCAAATAGGTGAGGGTATCTGCTCCGAATCTCCCGCCCAATCTCCCAGGTAGCCTCCTCCACGGGCCGACCTCTCCATTGCACTTTCACTGAAGCTATATCCTTTGATCTCAACTTTCGAACATGCCGCTCCAAAATAGCCACTGGCTCCACATTATAGGTCAAGTTACCATCCAATTGAACTGTGTTGAAGTCCAAAACATGAGACGGGTCGCCAATATACTTCCGGAGCATTGAAACATGAAATACCGGATGCA